TATATATATATACTATAACGATTGTATAAGTCACCAACGATCAGCGCAACGGGTAACGACAGACGAGCGTGTCTCACTTAGCTCATAGAAGCAGTTAACGAAACGGTATGTATGAATGCTTTAGGTCGGACGGGAAAGATGGACTGAAGTTCTACTCTAATCCAGACTTCTTCTTTGAGCTTTGGAAAGAGGAGATTCTACGTGATGCTGCCAAAGTGAAACAGGAGAGGGTGAAGAAAGTATGACACTTCTCACACTTTTCTTAGTATCGTTAGTATTACAGTTTACAGTCGACTTAGAAACAACTTGAGTAAGGTCAAGCCAAGCGAAACTTGTGTGTTACTATTATAGACTGTTGTATAAATTACACCACCGTACTCTCTCAGCCCAATCAACCAGGAACAAAACAGCAGCGAAAGGGACCAAGGAGAGTGAAGGACCACAGAGCTAAGTTTCACGAGAAAGCCATGGAGACAGAATTCATCAAAAGGAAAGAGGCTAGACGGAGCAGCAGCGCACGCACGGAAGCCAAGAAACATTCGGATGCTGTCAGCGATGGTACATCGCCACCGGATGACACCAGCAAACACGATAGCAAGGTCACTGAGACGGCAGAGAACGCGCAGAAACGTAAACACGACGAAAAACGAGCAGATCACGTTGATGGCAGGTGAACGTAAATGCAAGATATAAGTTACAGCTGTAAATACTAGGGGGCTACAAGAACTACGCCCGCGTGTGAAGGGGGGGTCTATTAACACAACGCTACGATGTTATTAAAACATTTAACGTTAGGGTTAGGGCTAGATAATCCGAGCGTAAAGCACGCTATCTTTCTTTTATAGTAGGCCTACTTACCTAACAATTAATTATTCAAAAGAAATCGGCACTCTTAATAGGTTTTTGCTATTGATGGAGTTTGCTGAATGTCACATTGGTTTCAGCTCAACGTTGGATGACGACCGCCCTCCAACCCCTCCCCCTCCATATGATCCCACAACACCACCATTAACTGCAAAAGGGAACAGGAAAGGCAGTCGACCCCTCATAAGCCAGTCTGTCGCCAGAAAACTTAGCAGACGGTCTGAAAGAACAAGCCGACCATCGCTGCCTCCCCCACCCCCTCCACCAGGTATGTGATGTATGATTGCTTACCTCCCCCACCCCCTCCACCAGGTATGTGATGTATGATTGCTTACCTCCCCCACCCCCTCCCCCAGGTATGTGTGATGTATGATTGCTTACCTCCCCCACCCCCTCCACCAGGTATGTGATGTATGATTGTTTACCTCCCCCACGCCCTCCACCAGGTATGTGATGTATGATTGTTTACCTCCCCCACCCCTCCACCAGGTATGTGATGTATGATTGCTTACCTCCCCCACCCCTCCACCAGGTATTAATGTATGATGTCTACCTCCCCCACCCCCTCCAGCAGATATGTGATGTGTAATTGCCTACTGCCTAATTGTAATGTATTTATGTCTACTCCCTCACCCCCCCCGCGATCGTTAGTTTTTTTTTTAATATATAGTTCTTCTCTCTTCCAGGTTCTACAAAGAGGCAGACAATGGACTTCCCTCCTCCCCCACCTCCTGATCAGCTGATTGATGATGCGTTTGAAGACCTCCCACCGCCTCCCCCTGGCAGCATGTTTGAAGACCTCCCACCGCCTCCCCCTGGCAGCGTGCTTGAGATGGACCACGTACTGCCTGCCACAACGGCAGCGCTACCAATGCTGAACAGCAGCAAGACAGGAGGACCCGCACCACCCCCTGCCCCACCCTCAGCACCGACCCCGCCCGTGGCGCCCGCCCCACCAGCGCCTCCCCAACAGGGATCGTTCGCAAGCACGGTCGACAGTTCCCAAACGCGCCGGTCACTGAGGAAAGCCAGTCGATCACACGTGCCACCAGTAATAGATGCGAGAGGGGATCTGCTGAACTCCATTATTAAAGGTACGTACGCTTCGCTCGATTATTGAAGAAACCTCTCACACTCACGTGATATTTACATATCAAAGGCGAAATTATATTGGCACAGTTTTCACCTCACGCGTCATATGGACGTGAAACGCGGGTGATACTTCATTAGGAGTGTTCCCAACTTTTATATATATATATATATATATATATATATGGTCATGGTCATATATTAGTTTGTGGTTTAATGTCATTTAGGTTAGGGTTAGGGTTAGGGTTATCAATCATTAATCATTAATCATTAATGATATCAAAGTTGGGAACACTCCTAATGGAGCGTTAGCCTGAAACGCAGTACGCTGAATGCTATACGTGCAGACAATCATTACAGGAATCAAGTTGAAGAAGGTGGAGGAGAAAAAGGAGAATGAGAAGAAACTGCAATCGTGTGCCGACGTCGCTTCTATCCTAGCGAGAAGGATTGCTGTCGAGTATTCCGACTCAGACGATGACGACATGGAAACAGGCAGCGATGGTAGTGAGTGGGAGGACGATGATTATTAGTGAAGCGCCCCCTGGTAACACATGCATGGTCTACTTCATGCAGACGACTTCTACTGCTGCATTATTGAAATATAAAGAGCATGATACGATCAGGAGTGTCATAATATAGACAGTGCCATATGAAAGTGTCATAATCTATATTATGACAATCATGATATGATATATGATATGAGTGACTAGAGACAGATTCCGCCACGTTGGCGCTGGTGATGCTGCTAGGATTAGTGTTTCTATTATCCTTTCATCGTCATCAGTACCTTCCTTAAAAAGTGGCACATACATTATTGAAGTTTGCCAGTAAATATCTCTTACACACGACGAATGAAATAAATTAATTGCCGCTGCTATTAGAGAGTATTGAAGCCAAACAGCTGGCTAATGAAGCGAAAATTCGTTGCATGAATTTGTGGTGCTATATGGCAGCTTTTTAGGATTTGTGAAAACGTTTCTAAAATATGCAAGTGTTATTTGTAGTACTGTAGTTATACGTGAGAACGTACTGATGGTGTGAAATACCATAAAACAAACGCAGGATGAATAACGTGGTTCATAGCAAAGTGCATCACTGCACAGGTTTATTTACTAACAACAGGTTTGACATTAGAGCATTTATAATGCATGTCATATTTCCAAATACTATTTACATTCCTACACGAGACAGAGCAACGATAAGCCTATTATTATGTTCACACTGAAGTAGTTATAACTCTACATAAAAGCTTGTACATGTATATATATATATATATTTCGGCGCGGGATGCAACGTGATTCTCGGATGAAGTGAGTGCTGGTGTGTGCGTGCGTGCGTGCGCTCTTGCGTCGTTGCATTTGTGCGTGGGGCTTATGAAGTTTTGAAAGGCTTCATTGCATAATTATTTGCTTCACAGCATAGTCTTTCTACGACCTTTTGTCATCAATGCCTTTCGTCATCAAATTGGCAGGGCTGATATTAGTTTGCAGACAAATATATCAAGCACATAACCAAGTAAATAAATGCAGTTTTGCATCGATGTTAAAGATTGCCATGTATAACATGTTTTTTTTAATCGTAGTAAATAACCCATCCTAATAGTCATTATTACTCGAAAACATTCGTAATCAAGAATATTGAGGCACGAGGCAACCAACACGACATTCTTTTAGATATCTTAACTACACGAAATCCAGTGCTATAATATAGCAGGCAAAATCTACATGGATGATTATCTGTGCCGTCATTTGCCTCAGAAAGCGTGGAGTAGCAATGAGTTCGTAGGCTACGGGAGACGTGTCATACCAGATATAACTCGTGATATATCCACCTTGTCAGGATCAGGTGCAGAACATGTAAAGCGCTGCAGTCGTAGCACAGGACGTCTCTATGTTGGTAGTGCTTCCAAGCATTTCTCCGCCTAATGTTCTTAGTTGAAGTAGTTGAATCTCTTTATCATAATATTTAGCAAATATTAAATTTTGTTGATGTGTATGGCTATTTCCCGGGTCTATGCTGCTTGCTGTCATACTGTGCTCTACGCTGCTGCTGGTGCTGCTGCTGCTCCTATATTGCTGCTGTGTGCTGTGTGCTCTACTATGCTGCTGTGTACTGCTGCGGTGCCAGCCTGCTGCGCTGGTACCACTGCTGGCTCTACTGCTGCTGCTGCAGCCATGCTGCGCTAGGTACACTGCTGTGCTGCTTTATGTACTACTGTGCTGGTGGTACATGTGCTGCGGCTGCCAGCCAGGCCTGCGCTGGTACCTGCTGGCTGTATACTGCTGTGCTGCGCACCCCCTGCTGCGTGGTCCTGTGCCTGTGATTTACTGCTGCTGTACTGCTGTGTGTACTGTGCTGTGCTGCTGCAGCCCATGCTTGCGCTGTACCTGTGCTGTGCTGTGTTTATGTACTCTAGTGCTGCGTGGTACCACTGCTGCTGCTGCTATTATGCTATCTTCGTGCTGCGCTGGTTACCATGGCTGCTTGCTGTGATTAACTGTCGGAGGAGTATTGATCATGCTTGATGAGCCGGCCTTGTTCATCTAGCCAGCGTCCGGATAAATGGTCGGTCGCCAGTACCTGCCATCGCGATGCACCGACCACAGATTCACCATGATCATAGCTGCCCTAGAAGAGGCAATGCTGCGTCAATAATTTAATTGACATCACCATCGAGATATACGCACGCCTAGAAAAAAAAAAAAAAGGAACCGGGCGCAAATTCTTGCAATTTCATGTTTCGTAACGATATATAAGATCTATGTGGACGAAAGTTCAATAATAGAATTTGTTTAGTTACATAGCAACAACCTTGGCACGTTGTAATTCCTGAAAGTTGTGTCTTCTACGGCCCGATGGGGACTGTGAATGGTGCAAGTGGCATGTCTCTGTACTCGGACAACTGCATCCATGTACACCAGCCGTTCTCGATCTTTCAGGCAAGGTCTTCTGCCCTGACCAATAACCTGCAAGAAAAAAATTTCAAAACAAAATAAGGAAAACAAATGAGTGAAAAAACATTTACTTTTATTCACCCCTGATAGAAATTTTATATATCATCGGGCAGTATGAGTGTAGTCATAATAATTATGATGATTTGTGTAATCGATATAGTATTTCCATTAAACAAACATCATCATGTCTGCAAACATAAACACAGTACAAGATGTTACCAAGGATTCTACCAAAGCTCCATTGATGACCTATATGACTACTATTATCAGGAGGAGAATAATAAATATATCATTATATATATATATAATATAATATAATTATTCACACCTGGTATTATACTATTATCACGTTTACCTGTATCTGGTCAACTAAGTGCATGCTACCTACACAGTATACACACACAGTACACAGTACACAGTACACAGTACACAGTATCTACAGGCTGCCTAAATGTTGATCAACCAACACAAGCAGGCAGGTAAACACGGCCTCACAAATTCATGGGATGGGAACGTGAGGTGCACTGTATAACATCGTCGTATAGTATAGTAACACACTCTGTTATTATTACAGGTATCTTTTATTATTAAGCAAACGTGCGATTCAACTTCCCCTAAATGAAGAGTAAACGAAAAACATCTACCTCGTCGATTTCTTGCTGTACTTTCCTCTGCACATCAGGAAAGGCAGTCATGTAGAGAAACAGCCAGGCAAAGCTTGTAGCTGTGGTCTCTGTGCCAGCTCCGAAAACGTCCATTATCATGTGAAACAAATTATCGGTTGTAACTAAAAATGTAATTCATAAATAAATGAGCGAGTGAACGAATGTGTGCATGCGTGCGTGCGTGCATTAATAACATACTTCCAACAGAGCTTTTTCATGCTACACGCAGAATTATTACGATAGAAAAACAACAAGTGTAGACATAGTATTAGAGAGTGTCAGCTTTTTCATACAGAGCAGTAACCTGCCATCATCCAGCTCTAATGTTCGTGTATTATGTCCATCATGAGACTCACACTCACATTCCTTCATATTGGGGGATTCCTTCTCTGCATCCATGGTGTACTTCAGAAAGATATCTATAAAGTCTCTGATGTTGCTTTCATCATAGCTGTTTCTATGTTCTTCGATAATCTAAACAATAAATATGCTACGTTCATATTTTATCAATATTCTAGTAATATGTTATAGGGGATGTACACATCTTAGAGAAATTTACTCTGTCCATTAACAATATTGTGGCCTATTACATGCACACTCTAGGACTATTTACACAAATAAATTACATAAAATAAATAACATTATAACAATATAATTAACATGTAAACTGGCTCTGAAATTGAGACAGAGTCAAAGAAAGTTGCCACTAGTAGCAGAAGAGTAAATAGTAGTAACATCTCTCCATAAATGAACTCATTAATAAATTCACACCTCATTAATGAAACCCTCTAGCTGTTTGCTGCCTGCCAAGAGCTTGTGAAATCTGGAACCTGGGATTCTGAGAAAAAGAGGAGCGAGGAAGGGCAGGAAGGTTTCAATTCCACCCTGCACTGGCTGGGAGAAGAAAAAATCATTGAAGTCAAGCAGCTGCTGAAATTTCGGGTCAGTGTATTGATACCTGAGAGAAACAAAGAAACGTCACAGTTTATTAGATAACCAAATACACTCACTTAAATGCGAGCGTCATTCTTCTTTTACATTACGTACCAGCGTTTCATTTACTTTATAATGTGTAGCAGCTATACCACAACTCCCATCCCCACCCCTCTCTGCCTCACCCAACTCATCACTTTCCCTCACCATCAGTCGCTGCCTAACCACACCCCCGTCTTCCACTTCCCACCCTTTTCTGCTTAATCTCTCACTCTTTGCATAACCACATCCCTCGCTGCATAACCCCACCTATTCCTCCCTAGTCTCCCTCTCTCCACATAACCACGCCTCTCTCTCTCTCTCTACACAACCCACCTGTCCCTGTGTAATACCACTCTTCTCTGCCTAATGCTTACCCTCCTTGCCTCACTCCTCCCCTCTTTACCTAACCCTACCTCTCTATTCCCCACCCATTCGCACCCTCCCTATCCCCATCCCCCCTCTGCCTCACCCCACTGCTCTCTGCATAAACTCTACGCCTCTTTGTGTCATCCCATTCCTCTCCATCTACCTCGTTCCCTGCCTGTCTCATCCAACGACACATCAAACTTCCTAACCCTACCTCTCTCTTCCCTTCCCCATCCCAACCACTTTCTGCCTCACTCCTCCACTCTTCGGCTAACCCTATTTCTCATTTACCCAACTTCTCGATCTTCCCCTTCCTATACCCATTCTTCTCCGCCTCATCCCACCCACCCTTTCCACACCCCAACCCAACCTTAAACATTACCTGCTGCCAAAGTTGATAGAACAGATGACATTCGACGCTGCATTCTTGAAGATGCGTTTAGGGTTGAAGGGTTTTGCCTGCGTGGCCATGAATTCCTCAGTGACTGCCTCCATCTCCTCCAACACCTTCTCCTCTAAGCTAGCCTTCCCCATTCCAAAGTCACGCAGCGCAGACAGGGTGAGCCGACGAAGCTTTCTCCACTTGTCCCCGTAAGGGTTAAACACTATGCCTACAGGTGACAGGCAAATATATAACCATAAATAACATATCAGACATACATAAAGGCAGACCAGTGCATAGACAATACTTGGATAGACAGATGTTACACTAGGGGGCAGTGCTGGTGACTAGTAATGAACAACACATTTACTGGCCTTTATCGCTCTCCAGTATAACTGCCATCGCGTTGGCTATTGGTCGGTCCATGAAGTCGTGGCCCCTGGTCACTAAAAGTTCCTGCGTCGCCTCAAAGCCGTTCACAGCAATCACCGGTACAGGACCAAACCAACAAGTGAACACATCTCCATACGTCCGAGTTAACTCTGCAGGAAAACGGACATAAATGAAATAACGGAATAAATAAATGTTAGCATAGATTGCTTGATATAAGTACGTGGTAGACATGCTCTAATACTATGCTTATTATAATGTAATACAGCCCGTGCACTCGTACACCACCATACTGTACGTTAGCCAATCTTTTCCAAGTTACTAAAATTGTGACTTGCTCCCTCATACATGTAATATTGACTTACGTAAAATCTATTGAAAAAAATCTCGTTTCAAGCGACTCAGGGGTTCCTTTTCAGACTGACAGGGTGTCACCACAGCTTGGTTTATGATCCCCTATTTGTATTCTAATCACATACATTTTTAGTCTGATCAAACATTGCGATACCTGGTAACTTACTGATATCTAAGGATAGATGTACATGCCATATATAGTTTAATATCTCTACACTACAACGTGACTGCTTACATACAGCAATACGTCAGGCAGCATGCAATTTTTCCCTCACCTGTGAACGTAAGGTATGGATGTTTCCCCAGCCAGGGAACGTAGCCTATGAGAGGGGCACCTGCCGGTCCCGGGGGAAGATTCCTTGGGAATCTTAGCCAGCGGTAGGCCAGGAGGAAAGACACAGCTAGGACGAGTAGTGTGGAAGCATCCAGCCATCCAAGCAGGTCAGCAGCAGCACTCATGGCAGCTAGATAAACAGACAGATGCTTATACGATTTAGACGTGTCAGCAGTAACAGCAGCAGCACTTTGGATATACAGATCCTGGTACAGTATATGCAAATAGCAAATCATTAAGAGGCGAGGTTGAAACGTTTCCTATAGCAGTGTGTTTACATACAAACTTCATAGATTGGACAATGTAGGCAAATACGGCGTGATCAGTCTTATCGTTCTTATTATAGCTGGGAGGAATAGAGCTATATCCTGAACTGTTTATGTCATACCAATATTAGTGCCTTATTGGTACTAGCAATGCTAGCAAATGAAATTATTCTACTCAAAATACAACTAGTATTCCACTAATATTTCAACATAATTCCAGTCTGCTACGAATAATAATGTTACTTACTTATTTGCTGGTGCACAAGTTTCTAAGAATATTACAAAATCTAGTGACTTCTGCAAACACTCATTGACGCATGTCAGTGTTGTTGGAATTCTATGGCGTTATCACAATACATGCCTAACTGCCTACCATGCAGTCGCAGTTATAGTGGCCTTCAGCAAACCTGTCCTGCTATTTACTAGTGCTGCCAGTGTGTATACCCAAGGCCATTGCAAACAGCTGGTTGATAAAGGGAAAATTTGTTGCAGGAATATTTAACACTATATGACAGCTCAGGCGCGTAGCCAGGGGGGGCGGTTGGGGCGGTCGCCCCCCCCCCACAAAAACGCCGACCAAAAAAAATAGAGAGAGAAGAGAAAAAAGTAAGAGGACGTAGGAAGAAAAAGGAGCATACAAACACACATGACAAAGACTGTGTTAAAAAGATTATAAAAAAAACAACAGATATCTTTTAAATATTTAAAAATATTTTGTGAAATGAGCTTTAAGCCCAGCGCAGTTCGCCTTTCATGCAGCTCGGCATAACATATCATGCGTACCTACACAATAATATGACTATCAAGCTCTACGGATATTTTGTGTACAGCGGGTCGGATTCTCTACGTGCTACTTGTGTATTCTTATTGTGTGTCTGACCTGTCACACAGTCCTGCTAGCAATTATGGAAATCTTATGATGAAATGCTGATTGTTTGGTGATTGGTTGATTTAAACGTCAATATATTTATCACATGCATGATGCTCATTTCTGAAGATATCCTAAAAAAAAATCGAAATCTTGTTTAACAATAAATCCAATATTATTTTTGAAAATTCAGGATTAAGAGTCAAGAACGGTACAACAAATCGTCTTCTTTCTCTAATAATTTAATGAAACGTCAGAGCTTCCGCGCTTCGCGCACCCCCACCCTTCACCCTCCCTGCACCCACACCCTAGGAAGCGCGAGTCATTCGCACACTTCACGTGCTCATTGCCGCCCCCCCCCTAAAATAAAATCCTAGCTACGTGCCTGTGACAGCTTTCTACAATTTGTGAAAAAGTACACAAAATGTGCACGTGTTACTTGAAGTGTTGAAGTTATTTTTGGAAATATACTGAATATGCAAAAGAAAAAAACACAAAAGCAAGATGAACATGAATAAAGTATTTCATACCAAAGTGCATGGTTGCACAGGTTTATTTACTAACAGCAAGTTTGACTTGTAATTTATGGCTTTAAATATTATTTACATTCTTATCTAAGACAAAACAATAATAAGTTTGTAATTATAGACTCTAAATAAAAAACTCATTTTGATTTACACTAATAAACTTAAATTTACTTTAACATAGTATTCTACTAAAAGAAACGTGTTTAATGTAGAAATCTTGCTAATTTACAATCATACTCAATATTATTATCAATAATGTCAACGTGTACTTAAATATATATCCTCGACATTTGAAATCAGTGATACTCCTAATATTTTCCAGGGGATGGGGTGCCGATGCTGACTGCTACGGTACAGCCTTATGGTCCATGCACATTGCACTATTAGTTCACACTGTGACTTTATTTGCAATTCTTTGTGCTTGTAAATTAAAATGCTGTAATAACTAAAGCTTTACTTGCAACCCAGTGTTCAGGAATAACTACTTGAGATTATTTACTTTAATGAGATGACAAAATCGAAAAGCTTCAATGCATAATTATAACTCTGTCAGCAGTACGTTTTGAATCAACACGGTTGAGTTAAAATTAACCAAGATAGATCCATAATTATAACCTTTACAGCTCTGTAGTGCATGCAGTACAGTATATAGTAAGACCATTAACATATCAATACAGTATAGATATATGTTCATGGTAGCACTCAATAACTACAGCTCTAGCAAAACATTGATAGCTGCGGTAGAGTGCACTACATGATAATGATTATGACGTACACTGCCAAAGAGTGTAAACCCCCATCACACAATATAGTGCTGTACATGCGACTGTTTCTGTTGCCTCACATTTAAATAAGTACATTGGTTTAGGTTTAAAACGGCACTCCCCCGAGGAAAAGCTGTCATATATGTTAGTATACACACACTTAGCCACTACAATTTCCTGATTGCCAATATAAATGCCATGTTTTAGCACAAACAAGCCTATCTATGAGATATTCTTAGTCTATGATATTACTCGCATTGCACACTTGTGGGATGTCAATATGGGTATGCATGGATCGAACAAGGCAGCTTTTGTGTGTCATTCACCTTTATGCACAAAATTCTTACATAGATGATGATGGCTAGCTACATTGATGGATACAGGCAAAAATGTCACTTCAAAACATATTTACAGATAAATCGGGGTAATATCATGCTATCGACTACTACAAATCTCCATTAGTAGTAGTGACACATTCTTGATATTATTTGTAAATCAGGTAAGTAACTGTAGGTATTTATGTGTCGAAAGCTTTTACTCTCTTTTGCCGTCTTTTCTTATATTCGAGGAAAGTCACGTTACCTTGTTGCTGGCAGATTTATTCCGTTGCCTGTCCCTCTGCTCACGAAGCTTTGTAAACATCTGTTCCTTCTTCTCTCTTCGCTGCTCACAAAGTTTGACATTCCGCTCTGAATGTTTGACGACCTTCAAACATAACGCAATAAATTCTCAGCAATTCAAAGACAGGATCCAGAATTTCTAATTTATTCACAAATTTCACACTTATTCATCTCTATCTTCATCTTATGCATTCTAACTGACATTGAACCCATGAACGAGGTACTGGTCCTAGCAATATATAAAATAATAAAATTACAACACAATTGCTTTGGCTAGTGTAGAAATACTCGAGCACAGAATGCCAAAGTATGAAATTGGTTATAGATGTCATCAATAGAGTAAAAGTACAAACACACTCTAGTGAATTTAGTAACTTATTAACCTACCTGCTCATTGTCACAATCAGTGCCTTCATCAGCAAGAACCTTTCTTATCCCCTCTTGCTCTGATTCGCTACTACTGGTGCTGCTGTTTATGTACGAGTATCTCCTCTTCGTGCCAGATCCCTGCTTCAGATTACGTGAGGCTACAACAGGGGAAACATTCGATAAGTATGTATGAGAGGATAAAGAAATGTTAGCTAAAATAAGAGGCGATTTAAATAAGTTGAAGATTGAACAAACAAGTTTGAATCAAATATAAACCTATAACAGCTGGCTATATATAAAGATTAGTGACAGTTACTTCACACCAAAAAACTGACCATCTTCACTGTTTCATGCATATTTTGCCCATATTGTTACTTTTATTACCACTTTGAAACCTAGTTAGCTGATTACTTGTTAGTTTCCTAAATTGAAGGGAAATGTTCTAATTACCATCATCCTTATCCTGCTCATCATCATCTGATGGAATGGCGATTTGATGGTAACTCTTCTTTAGGTATCTGGATCCTGCAGATATCTTTTCGCTCTCATCACCACCTTTACTGCTGTCACTTTCTGAGCTGCTGTCTGAGATGCATTTGCTGCCAGTGTATCGTCCCCTCAGGGTTGTGTCCGACTCAATGGTGTCCGAATGCTCAGGTGTGTCCTTGCCATTCTGCATGGATAGATGTCGGGCTGTAAGGTTATATCAGTAGATGGTTTACCTTGGTAATGTACAGTATAAATATTAGACACTATATTTTATCTAAAGATGCAAGATCAGTTCGTGCTAGCAGCTCTGTTTAAGACTTTAACAAAGCTAAAGCTCCATCTGAAAACTGCATGATTGTTGTTGTACCTTTCTTTCTAAACATTTTGAGAACTATTTTATTGATAGATTAATTACCATTAGACATAGTGTATAAACTCTACCATGTAAATCAAACACCGATTATTGCAAAATTATTTGAAAAAGGGTCTCCTGACCTTTAGCATGTTAGAACCTACAACTTGTAATTGTGGCATACTTTTGGCCTTACTTCAACATGTGAGTCTATACTAGTATAATCGGCGTTGTCGTCAGACTCAACAATAAAGTCGCTTAAACTTGATTCATCTTCAAACACATCATGACCTTTCTCAGCATTGTAGTAATGTGTCCTGCAAAAAGAGATAGGTAGTAAGGTACGTGAGGTTATAGGCAAAACATGACACAAAGGTAATGTAGCCATTAAAATTATTACCCAATAGATGCTACAGTATCGGAAATCGAGCAATAATGAATAAACTAACACGTGATTGTATCACAAAATACAGAGGGAGTAAGTAACTGTTCATTAATTATTATTATTATTATTATTATATCTTTATTGCATGTAATTCAAATACATGTACTGATCATGTATTAATTATAATGCTAGTATCTAGGGATAGTATCTAGATATCCATAGCCATTTTAAATCATCTGACATTCAAAGCAATGTGTCCAGCATATATGTCTAGCTACTAGGTTTAACCCACAGATATCAGGCATGAGACAGACAAATGCTGAAAAGGGAAAAAGATTCTCGTGCGACTGGCACAAAACCTCTAGGGGGGTCTGGGGGCATGCCCTATTTATCATTATGTTAGCATAATTTAATCTAGCATTTAACTTTAGCATACATTAAGACAATGATACGAGTAGAAGCGCTCCGAATAGTTACCGAGTCACAGTGTGTTCACATGTACGCAATCGTCAGAGCCCACAGAAGTATTCTTACCCCCACCCCAAAAAAATATCCTCGAATTTACACTGATCTCAGAAATGGTCTCTGGAGTTCTAAAATGGCCTGAAATCTGTCGAACGGCAGAAATGTCTCATGCCTGAGATATACACAACACAATACAAACACACCTATGGTTTAACATAACTCACTCTCTCGTGTAATTGTTGATCAACTTTCGAGGCTGAAGATGACCGATCTTTGCTGGGCTATCAGCAATACTGTCAAAGACATCTTTGCGCGACGGACGAACGAATTTCTTCCTGGATTTATTTCTAAGCCTCTCTGAACTACGCTGTGTCTGGCACTTCTATGAGTGAAACAGTATAACAAAATACCAATCAGCTACTTGTTAATGAGACACTCATTGACTCAAGCTTCGGCACGGGTATTGCTCCAATGGCAATGAAGAGTAACATAGTATTCCCAGTGTTGTTGTTGTTGTTGTTGTAGTTGTTGTTGTTGCTGCTGCTGTTCTTGTCTATGTCTATAAGAATACTGCGCAAGGCCTGTTAGGGCATGACGCGCAGTAGCCCGACCAGGATGTGAGACCGATTGTCTATGGTCTTCTAACTCTAGCAAGACCGTTTCTTGGAGCTAGACGCGCAGGGGTCGTCTGTTCTGACGTTCTTCTTCTTCTTTTTGTTGACGTTGTTTTTGATTGCCATAGTATTGACATTGTTGCTGCTGTTGTTGGTTGTTGTTTTTGCTGCTGCTGTCGCTATTGTTGTTGTTATTTGCTCTAAGTTCTACTACTACTAGTTGTACTTCATGCTGTTTGACCACTGACCAGGTCACATATGATATAACTCTAGTAACTATAGCAGTCTAGAGCTGAAAGGGTCGTTGTCATATATGTACCCCGAGTATAGTACCCAAGGTGTCGACGAGTATGTCGCCTACACCTACTCCCTAACCCTAACACCCTAACCCTAACCATATCAAATAGTTACCTCGGGTACATATTATACGCCATTAATTATACGACAACGACCCTTCGTGCCCACAGGCACTTGAAGCGTTTCAATAAAACATAATGCTAAATAAATACGAAATCTATTTACTACCAAATTCTTAATGTTTCTATACTCTCTTTCACCTATTATTGCTGACAGTTTCCTGTAAATTCCGTCCAAATCCTATGTACAACATACGCTGCCGGCGGCCATTGCTCTCGCGGCTGCACTGTGCACACTTACACTTATATATATATAGCAGGTAGGAAAGCGGGATCCCTAAATTCGCTCGAAGCTCGCTTGATTTCACGCCTTCACAGCACGAATACACATCCAACAGCTTCCATCTTTGTTTCCATTTCAAGAACAGTGTTCACTTGTTATAAAAACATACTGTCTCTGTTTGTAACTGAGCTGTGTCACGCGAAATCACACAAAGACTGACGAAATTCTCGCGTTCGCTAACGTTGCCCAGTAAATGTAAATGGCTGCCAGTACAGGGCTATATAGACTGGTACTCGCTCCCACCTCGATTACCCATCGAGTAACTCAGCTAAGCCGAGAGGTGGGAGCGAGTACCAGTCTATGGGCTATAGGTGGCGCACTGCTTTCCAACTCCCTCGCCATTGCAGCGTTGCAAAAACGTTGCAGCGTTGCGGCGCAAGAATGAGGTCACGAAGAGCGCCAGTGGGTGTTTCCTGATTCTGACAGCCATTTACATTTACTGGGCAAGGTTAGCGAACGCGAGAATTTTGTCAGTCTTTGTGTGATTCTCGGCGTTTGCGACAAGCTCTAACGCCCGTTTCACTGCACAGAGACTAGAATATTGTGGATATTTATATGGCTGGCATAGATACAGGAATAGAAGGGCAATGTTCTTTGAATGAGAACAAGTGCTGAAGTTTGCGATGTGTATTTCGTGCTGTGAAGGCGTTGAAATCAAGCGAGCGTCCAGCGATTTTGCGATCCCGCTTTCGCTACCTGGCTATATATTTAGTGTGTACAGCGTGGCAACAGCTGAGGAGCGTGAGAGCATTGGCGTCGGCAGCACAGGCACTTGGAACGTTCCTCAATGAAAAAAATAATGGTCAAATTAAACAACGAATGTCCAAGTCTTAATGTTTCTCTACTCTTATTGTTATTAATCACCTGTAAATTGGGTCAAATCTTATTCTGCAACACACAGTACACCGAACGCCGGCCCCGCTGTGCTGCGTGCACAACAACATGAATAAGAAAGCAGGGTAGGAAAGCGGGATTGAAAAATTCGTTCGATGCGTCGCCGCTTCATTTTCACACCATTCACAGCATCGAAATCACATTACTAGCAGCTTCCATACTGGTATCTATGTGAACCATAATGCTTTCACTTGTGTCGAATTATTAAACTCGGCTTTTTCTACCGTACTGCCCGCAGGATATGCTCGTGAAATCCCTGCTCAGGAAAGGTTCTCTCCGTGAAATTGTAAGAGATGGACGTATCATCCGAAAATCTCTGAACGGCACTATTTCGATCGATCCGCTGTGTAGCGGTCCCGCGTGTCGTGCGTGACCATCGGTGCCCGCGCGCACTTGATGCTTGCTTGGCTGGGCCTCGAAATGGAGCTCGGAGGCGGCAGCAGTCATCCGGCATGCAATGCACCCGCATTAGCTCGTGGTATAAACAGACAATCTCGTCCTCTTTACATTTTCAGCGGAGAGAACATTTCTGCAGGAGTTTTCACGAGATATCTCTGGCGGGAGTAGGTAAGAGACACAAAGGCCAGAAGGTTACTAATTCGAACAAGTGATACATTTATGTACACAAGTACCGACAGATGGAAGGCTGTAGTATGTGTTTCGAGCTGCTGATGGTGTGAAATGAAGGAGCGTCGAACGAATTTTTCAATCCCGCTTTCCTACTGCGCTCTCTTATGCATGTTGTTTGTGCACGGAGCAGCACAGCGCGGGCAGGGTTCGGTTGTACTTGGGTGTTGGCAGATTGAGCTTTGACCGGCATTTACAGGTCATTATAGGCGAAATAGAGTAGAGAAACATTAAGACTTTGGTACATTTCGTGTTTATTTTACGCTTTTTTTTTATGAGACGTTCCACATTGTGCTGTGGCGGCGCAAGCGTATATGGATTTGAGTTCAGTGGATTGGACGAAATTTACAGGAAACTGTCGGCAATAATAGTCATAATAGGTGAAAGAGGTAGTAGAAACATAAGAATTTGGTAGTAATTATAGGATTTTCGGTATTTAGCTTAGCATTATACTTTTATTGAAACGCTTCAAAGTGGCCTGTGGCTTCAAGTGCCTGTGGATAGTGTTAGTAGCTGCGAGAGGGTCTATGTCCCCCGGGTACTGCAGCGACGTACCGGCCTGGGGTACGGTCCGGTATACCAGAACGTACCCTGCGTTACTAGCTCTAGTACTACAGCGCGCTTAACATTTAAGCTGCCGCTGGGCCTATAGCATCAACCATTACGAATGCTCAAGGCCGAAGCTTACTCCAGCCAGTCAGCAGCCGGAACTACTGTATTTCCGCATGTGGAGGGGTGCGGCGGGTTGTGATTGTTGTGGACAAAACATGTGTTATGTTTGTCAAGCTAACAATTAATAATAGTAATTTGGTTCATCTTCATGACATAAACTAATATTACAATCTCTTCTTGATTCGCTTAATTGTGTTATTGACACACACAATGTTTTTTTCAGCACCACCCCAACGCCGCCACCCCTCCACATGCGGAAATACAATAGTTCCGCTGACTGGCGCCACAGGCACTTGGACCGTTTCAATAATGAAACATGATGGTTAATAAATCAACTTGTCAGTAGCCTACTACTACAGTACCAGCGATTAGTCTTCATGTTTGATTTGACCTAATAACTTCACTTCAACAGTCACCGTTCAACTACAACCGATGCGAAACATAGCCCGGCACGCCATGTGCATGCCACAGATACACACGTAGTTAGGAGAAGGCTAGAAAGCGTTTACACAGAAATTCCAGACGGTGGCCACTCTTGTCGCATGCACTAGAGGACGAAAATAAAACCTCCAACCGCCATGATATTGGCATCTGTGTGTAGCTGAATGATCACTGTTCGAAAATATACGTCTTGCAACATGGTACACAGACTTTTACCCAGAAATTATAGGAATCCTGCTCAAATTTGCCGACTCAAAGTTGCCCATTGAAGCCGATTTGTAAACCGGACAAGGAACATGAGCAATGGCGGCGCATTGCATTCCTGGGAGCAATTCTACTGCAATTTTGGCTCCCAGGAATGCAATGCAGCCGCCAATTGTCATCAGTAGCTGTCCGGTTTACAAATCGGCTTCATGTGGGAAATTTGCGTGCAATTTGAAGCAGGATTTCTCATATAATTCTGGGTAAAGTGCTGTGGTACCATTGTTCAAGACGTCTATCATTTCGAACAAGTGATGCATTCAGCTACACACAGATGCCAATATCATGGCCGGTTGAGGTTTATTTCGTCTCTATGGCAGTCGAACAAGAGTGGCAGCGGTCTGCGATTTTCTTGTTTCATTTGTCTCGTTTTTAAAATTGCATTTCGCTTGTGCCTGCCAACTTCAGCGGTTTACAAAATCGTCGACGGTTTCGGTCCAGTATTCTGTTTGCAATTGCGGAGCCCCAGACGCCGCTATGGCTGAAATTATGAGGGGTGTCAGCTGGCTCTCGAATCTGTCCCCCACGGGTCTCGGGGTTCTCCGCGCCCTCGGTGAGGCCCCATGAATTCGATATGCGTCTTATCCCTTCCTTGGCCAGCTAATAGAGGTATGGCTAACTTGCTTTCTCTTCTCTAACCCTTTGACGTCGAACATAAGCTTTGCATTCGTTGACGAAACATCGAGAACTCATCGGCCAAAGTTTAGAAGCATGCCAGTCCATGCTGGGTGCGTTTGTTTTCATGTGGTCGAAATGTGCCATGATTGGCTAGTGGTGCTATATATATAGCAGGCGTTACACTTTCTCTATGTTACCACACAGTAAATACTATTGCATGCACGCGCAGTCATTCACCACACACAGATACAATTACGCTACTGTCATGTACTAGTGGTTCAATCATACAGCATACTGAATACAGAATACAGAATACTTATACTAAACGTCCATGTATGTGAACTCTTTATGTCGCTGGAACACTGCTCAGTATCAAGTTCGTGCCTTGGATAAGTCACGTATCAGTTGCTCTCTGGTTGCCGTCACCGATCAGCTGATCCGGTTAGCTGTATCTCGAGCTGGGCCGTGAACTCGCGTCGTATCGATCGCGTCGCGTTCGCGTATCCTCCTTGCTCGGCGCTGTATGTGAGGTGTCTACGTGGTTTTCACTCTCTATCATGTGTGAGGATCGCTGCGCGCTGGTTGGCCACACCGGTCGTGCTGGTGTGACGTCACGCATGCCTTGCACGTGCATTGTATACGCGGGAAGAATGTCCTCGCGAACCGCGGGAGAGAAAATGTTCTCGCGCACGACGTAGGGTCTTACTGAGTGCAGTGCGAGTGTCCGCTCTTCGTCGATGTCACTCGAGCACTCACCGTCCCTGAGTTTTCACAGTCCCTGCCGCAGAGTCGAATGTCGGTGCTTACGCATAACCGTCATGTACATCTTGTGTACAGCATAGACTCTCACTCGTCCAGCTCTGAGCTCAACCGACATTTTGCGGCGGCTGTCAACGCACGGCGTCAATGTTCATCGCGGCTGTGCGACTATCTCCAGCCGCAGAATGGCTCACATCTTCACCAGCACCGGTGGGTTACACCGCTAGCTGCCACCATGTAATATTATGGATCAACGCATGTTTATGTTGATATAATATTTATTGTTATGAGGAGCCATCCTAAACACAGCTTACATTACAAGCACATGTAGCAGAGAGAGCGAGAATCTCGTGGAATCTCGCTACGCTCTCGTGCGCGCCTATAACGTTACATCGTTACATCCCCTTTCCAACTGTGAACGTTACAATACCCCTTGCCAACGATTATGAGAGGTTCAATTTTTAGTAGCGGCTATAACTTAAGACATATTCACTTCGGATAAGAGGCATAATTGCCTACCACAGACGTTTTTTAGCGGATACATTGGGGATAAGTTGGTCCATTGCGCCCCATGGGTCGGTCTATAGCCCAGCGGCAGTTAATGTAGCGGCTATAGTACTGAGCTACCCTGGTACTATCTAATAGTAATATGCGAACCGTAACCTCGTCTACTCCACTAACGAGTCTAGTGAGTCGCCTACGCCTACTCCCTAACCCTAACCTAACCCTAATCCTAACCATATACAAATAGTGACCAGGGTACGTTCCGGCATGTACCCTGGGGGACATAGACCCTATGAGCGTTAGTACGGTACTCAGTGATAATCATAATGCTACATCAGTGACAAGTCATCATACCGTAATAGACTAGACCTACTCACTTACACTTTGACCATCTGGAGTTCATCCCTGTCCTTCATCTGTGTATTTTGTGCTGTCACTAAACGCAGTTTTAGAAGAGAAATCATCTAACTTGTGCCTCCTTTTACATTTCTAAACAAACACGGACAACGCAGTACTTACATAAATTATGATGACACGTGACCACTATTAAATCACTTCCCGGTTCATTACCCGGTTAGGTTAGAGGATGTGACGCGTCATCGGCGACCAATCGGAGGGCCCGCAGCTCGCTGCACTAAAGCTGACGCGACCGTTTTGTGCGTTGCATTATTTAGGCTGGCTATCGTGACGGTGTGTGTCAATGACATGCACATTGAGCATGGGGTGGATGGTTACTGGTAATTTAAAACGAATTCTTTCAATGTATGCCCCCATTTGACTTGCGCGACTGTTTTCAGGCACAAATGTGGTGTCGTTAGTAAATTCGCCGATAATTTTATTTAAAACGCCGGACAACATGTCAACTCTAATGGTGCACAGCTGAAGTACATGGCTACCTAGCTTAATATTGCTACTTGGCCGAAAACGGTCGAAATACTATTTTTCAGCTCCTGAAATTCAATTCTTAAGTATAGGATCGTATGGAGGATTTAATAGTGGTCTGTTCTCTGATCTGTTAATGGGAATGCATTACCGCCACCTGGCGTTAGGTGCGTTCTCATTCAGAAACTATGAGAACATTAATAATGGATCACTCATTGCACGATACTCACAGATATCACGCTTTATCTATAATTCTGAACGTTTTGTTGACAATCATTTTTAGACAAAGTCAAGAAAAATTAAGAACTTTGGCTAGGAAATAAATATAACTAAATAAAAAAAGAAAGTATAGTTTTATGATTTTATTGTTTTATTCTTAATTATACAGATTCAGCACCAGCAGTATATATACAAATGTACTAATAGCTAGTGGTTTTCTGGAAATATTTGTTGTTTTAACCTAATTTTATTACAACTTAAAGATAGCTAATACTCATAAATTGCTGTTATAGTATTAGTATGGATACATGTGAATCATTTGAGCTATTTTCTGACTAAATTGGATGAGTATTATTGAAATCATAGCCAAAACCCGAATTGGTATTACACAAATATCAATACCTGTTATAAACCGCCAGGGACACTGTACGCCACCAGGAATTTGCACTATATGAAAAAACCTTCAAGACCTCATGTGATGCGCGTTTGCAAAGTTCTACACTTCTAACCAAAAGTGTAAAACGTGCCAATTTTTATGTGCTTATCTGCTGCACTACAAGTCAAATGAGCTAAAAACCAAACTAGGAACCTTCATTAAGGTTAATACAATAGTAACAAACAACAGATTTAACAGTGTTACCAGGCTTTACACAAAATTATCAATATTCAGCGATCAGCAAATCAAATCGCACAAGAAGTCAATGTATGTAGAAAATACAAAGACACCCAGTACAAACAAGTACAAACAGCAAAGTATCGCTGAGAGGGTCTATGTCCCCGGGGTACTGCCGGAACGTACCCTGGTACTATCTAATATGCCGGACCGTACCTCGCCTACTCCACTAACGAGTCTAGGGCGTCGCCTATGCCTACTCCCTAATCCTAACCCTAACCATATCAAATAGTGACCTGGGTACCCCAGGGTACGTTCCGGCAGTACCCTGGGGGACATATAGACCCTATGAGCCAAAGTATCTCAGGTAGATAATTGAGATGCAAACATCTTTGAGATAATTAATTACCATAAGATTTTTAAGGAAGAATAGGGACCTAGGAAAAGACCTAGGCTAAATTCCTTCTAAACTATGTACATTTATGCAGCAATAAACTGTTCATGAACTAGTTATGTATCTTTCACATTGTTTCTGCTTTCACTTCAACACAACATAACCAATTAAGATACATCTTAGTTACATTAGGAAGATTATGCACATATAAAACTTCAGACAAATAGGGCTTCAAGATATTCATCAATCTCCTCATCCTTGCTCTTCTCTTCTATGACTGGAGCAGGACCTGACCACACTGAATCACTGTGCTCACTAGTCCCCTGTGCTGCTGTAACATCGGCATCCTCTGCAGACTGCTTCCCACTGTCCTTTGTCGGACCATGCTTCACATGTTTACTTTTGCATTCACTGCTTCCATGGTGATCAGACTTGCGCTTCTTCTTAGTCACTTCTCTCTTCTGAATCCTGTAGTTTAATTTGTATGAGCAGCTTAAACAGAGTCTCAGTTTCACGAGAGCATTTTTCTTTTCACCATGCTCTTTGTAGCCAAAGTTTACCTCCCAAGTTCTCAGACTGTCTCCTTCTTCGCATTTTCGGTTGCCACAAATAAACTGACCTTTTCCATCAATAACCTCTTGTTCAGTTCTCCAGCGCATAGCGACCTTATTCTCTTTATATCTGACAAGGTCACAGATGCAGTATTCTTTGAATAATTTGTCGTAGTACCTCTTTGCAAGGGCTTTATCCCAGCTGCTCTCCGTCTCATCTTCTGCTGTCCACAAAAAACGATGCTGCTCTCGAATAATATCAATGTCTGTTTTACCCTTTGGTGCCGGCTTCTTGAATAGTTCTGCCTTTGCTCCAGAGTAGTATAGCAGGTAATCATTCACAAGTTTCTTATGCAGAGTATATGCATCAAGTCCAGAGTAGCGAAGTTGATAGGCCTGACCGATTGTTCGGCTGTGTTCTTTTGAGAACTGCTCGCGCGGGCGATCAGCCTGCGATTGCTCGTGATGACTGCTCTTCTTGTTCGTTGCTAGATCGTTCCGCTTTGCTAGCTTTCTCTCTCGTTCGCCATCATACTCAAACTCCGAACTATAACCTCCAGAAGCGTGTATCTCAATAAGATCAAGTCCTGTATCAGCTTCCTTCAAATCAGACATTGTGCAGAAAGATGACACACTTGCCTTTATTCTTTAGTGTTCATCCTCCTTTACCTATACAGAAGAGATGGTTAGTACCGCAAACGCATAAATATGAACTGGGTGTATAAGGGCACACACGAAGTTATCAAGCTTCAAGGTACCTACTACCTCAGGGGTCAAAATTGGATTTTTATTATGGTATCCATTCGGGATACCAGGTATTGAAATCTTGTATCTCCCCCAAAGATCTGGTATCCCATTTTTTGGATAGTAATTTCAACAATGTTGGTATCCAAAATCTTGAAATATGCAATAATAGCATTTGAAAATTATTAATATGTAATGTAATTATTATATAAAAACATGAAAACAGATTCACAGATATGCACAGACAAGTACACTGCAGACGTATTGTCTAGACACATTGTCTGGTTCGCTTGATACAATATATACACATCACATTTATTATCAACATTGGCTATGCTTGCACTTACGGCGCTATGCGCAGCGGCGGTACGCTTGCAAATATGCTCAACAACCACTATCCCGATTTTGAAGATTTTTTTTTACTATACCGGCGGGATACCAAGCATTGAAATCTGGTATCCAACACAAGAATCTACTATCCCGCGGATATCGGGATACTGCTAATTTCGACCCCTGTACCTAGTATTAAGTATACATCCACTACAGTAGATTCCACAGTAGTCTACAATAGACCCACAACAAGCCTCAAAATTAGCAATAACCTGCTCATCTATAAAATAATAAGTATACCCTCTGTTTGTGCACCCATGCTCGGAGCGGCAACAGACAAACTGACTTTACGAACTGCCGTGACTAGGTAGTTTACTAGATGGTACTGGTAGTACCTTGGTTAGTTACTTGCCTGGTTGCTACATGGTAAAGTCAGGTCCCTTAGCTTCATGATCGTTACAGAGCTGACAAAAGCATCAAACTTGGCACAGTTGTAGCCTA